ACTTTTTTGCACAGTTTTGCATTTTTATTTTAAGTAATTGACATGTCTGTGAACTTTAATTTTCTGGACTTTGCCTCCTGAATAAGTAGAGTTTTGATTTTGATTACAGACTCTTCGTTTATCATCTCTATACCTGTGTTTACCATATGTTTGGATTTGTTTTCTCTGGATTTTCAGTTTCCTGTCTTATTTTGTGGTTTTGCTCCTGGTGTGTTATTGACTTTACTTCCTGTCCTTGTCCTGTTTCCTACCCCTGTGATTGTCTGCAGCAGTTCCTCATGTGTTTCACCTGTGTCCAATAACCCCTACCTTCCCTGTGTATATAAATCTCTATGCTTCCCTTTGTCTTTGTCGGTTCATTGTCATCTTACATACTTCTCTCACCACGTGTCATTTCTGTTTTCCTCATTCCTCTCAAGAGAGTTTTCTAGTGGTGAAAACTCGGTGTCTACCTTGTTTTTGCTGTTAGCCTTTTTTAAGTAATTGTATTTTGTTTGTTCTTGTAAAGAACCCTGCTTGATTAAAAGGACACCTTTTGTTAAACCTTTGGTCTCTGCATCGTTGGTCCTCCTGCTTCTTAAATAACCTGAAAGTTATTGAATTTGCTTTTGCAATAAATATGTTATTCATCGATATGTGTCATGTAATTTGCCTTTAAGTGTAATGAACTTTTTTTTCTATAAATGATCATTATTTTAAAAAAGCACATACCAACTTAAGAAAGCATTGGTATCTGTAAAATTCCAACCGAAAGTATCTGTATCGAACTTATAAAGTCTTGTGTGTTGCCTTTAAGGCATTTCTTTTCTTTAAATCATCTGTTGATGCCTTACTTTTAGTTGCAAGTGGAGGATGGAAAATTAATTTACAGTTCAAAAGATTTATTGGTAATATTATTTATCCGTTTGCTTCACAATGACATCACTTCTGGTTTAGAACAACTTCCTGTTTTGACTACTTCCTTTTTTGGCAACTTCCCGTTTGGGGCTTCCTGGTTCTGCTGTAGAGACCTGTGGGACATGCTCTGACAAACAATCCACTTGCATCCAATCCAAAGCATCATAGAGGCAATGCTGTAAGTTTATTTATTCCCTGCTAGACATGCTAGATATAATATCTTAGTAAATATTTAGCTTAAAACATGTTTTGATAAGTTACTTATATTTTATTTTGCAATGTGTACCGGCTACAACAGCTGTGGTAACTGCCACCTGCAGTGCAAAGCAGCAATGTATATTGACAACGATGTACAATGTAATATAACAAACGCTGAATATTTTGTATTCTTTACTTACAGTTTTCACCACAGCATGGTCAAACTTACTACTACGACTCTGTCTTCATTAGCTCTGGTTTACCTTGGTGTTTAGTCAGAGTTACAACACACTGCACGAGAACACTATATCTGGTATTGCCCATCTCTACAGGAATAACAGGAAATAAAGTCACAGACACACAAGGAGCAATATTTCCAAATAAAACACGAAACAAAACACGGTATAGAACAACTACACAAGCCAAATCTAAATAAAGGAAAACCAAGGAAAATCATCCATCATCAAAATGTTCAACAAAAATCCAATAGCTTTTCAGATAAATGAGCACAGAGCTCAGTCATGATTGTAATTCCACTGAAAATTGTTTACAGCCAAGTGTGAATTATCCTGAGTGGAGACAGAAAAAAGGCAGATGGCTGAA